TTTGTGTCAGCAGGGACAAACTCCTGATCTGCAAGATAATAACAGTGACTTAGCCAATAAGTTTGGAGAACAGCAAATAGCCAAACACATATTCGGTGTAGCTTTGTGTTTGTCCCAGGGGGCTTATGAAAAATTAATAACCCTCTCGGCCTGCATTACTAGACACAAATATCCCAATACGTTTCCGTTCTGGCCACATATAATGGAATGTTGATTATGGGTACCACTTCATTGACTCCCACTTGAAGCATGCTGATTTCATTTTTATCAATAATAGGTCATAAATTACTCAACACATAGCTGACTGTATAGTATGCAAATTGCATTAGTGATAATGCACTACAGGATATGGAAAAGCTGCTGCTGTGTTTGTGCATATTAGAGTGTTATTCATTTATTCGCTGTTATTCCTGAGGCTCTATCTAAATACGCCTGTGGATATATGCTGCTGCAGGTGATTTCTAAGGAATAAAGCCCTTGTGTAGTTGTGATCCAAGAGCAATGCAACAAGAAAACATCCCCAGTCTGCTATCATGGGAAAAACATCCCTCAACTTATTTTCCTCCCATCCTGCTTGTGCGTGACACTATTCTTCGATTCTCCGAGCACTTGTCTTTTGAGGAGCATGGTTGCGTGTGGATGGGCTGCTCTTCAGTATCTCTCTGGAGCCTCTCCACTCCAAAGACATGTATGATATGATTCATGGGTGCACTGAAAGTAGCATGGTGGGCTGGGGTGAAAAAGTCAAGACATAATGTTTATGTCTAGTTACATCAACCTCCACCTTTTAGACAACATATTGTCTTTAATCAGAGATTTGAGTCCAGATGTGAACCATCTGTGTGTTACAGAATGGACGTCTTTCTCTATTGTAGCTGCAGCTCACCTTTTCTCCCACTGCACAATGAAATAGTGGCTACTCCAGAGTCTTGATAAATGCACTGGCACCCCTACCAATTTTTCACAGGAGTGGCCAGATGGGGCTGCTCAGAATCTTGGGTTGTCTCACCAAAACCAAAAACCAAACCTGAATATCAGGAATATGCTTGCGCTGGTGTAGTATAGGCTAGTTGAAATCTATTTCACTATGGAGAGTTAATATTATTAATTATCCATTGTGTATAGACTAAAACGAGTACAGTTAACACGTTGAGTTCCACAACAATCCTGTTTTAATGTGTAATGTATCTGTGCCAAGTGATTTACTGTTCTCCAGATAGGCTGGTTGTCCTTTTCTGTAAATAGACAAATAGCTTTAATCTGAAGTACATGTATTGTAAGGAACAAAACATTAACTTGGATGAAGCCTTCTCAAGTTTAGGGGAGAGTCGTGGGCATTAAACCAGGGGTGTCAAACATATGGCCCGTGGGCCAGAGACGGCCCACCAAAGGGTCCAATGACTAGATGACTAGACTAAGAGGTGCCAGGTTTCAGGAGCAAGTTTAACAATGCGTTGCCTACTTCATGTAAAATTCTGCGTCAGAGATGTTTCCACCCTGACCAGAATACAGCTCTCTGACATAACGAAGAATACTTACTGTGACCATGTTTAAAGATATTGAACAATGTGCAACATATTGTGAATCAGTAACTTCAGTTCAAAACAATTTGTATGTACAGTGAGAATAAGACGGACTGAATGTGAAAAAACATTGAGACATACTGTTGAAATTGCATTTATTTTTCTTTAGACATCTCAGGCTGTTTATCTGTTTTGTAAAAGGATGAATGTATACAGAATGTACTTGTAATTCCTTGCACACAAAAGGGAATAAAGTGGAGCTGATGATACTCATAGGTTATTGCGCAATGGTTTTATTGGTCCGGCCCATCTAGGATCAAACTTGGCTCTATGTGGCCCACAAACTAAAATGAGTTTGACACCCCTGCATTAAACCCATTTTCATTCAAATAGCTTGAAGTGAAAGTTCAAGGAACCCCTTAGAAAATGGCCATGTCAGTTGTTTCCTGCTAAAATTTTGCCTAATTTTGGAGAGTTACTGGTGGTTGGTACCAATGGATGCCTGAGTTTATCCATTTTCACAAAATACCACTGACTTTGCACAGTGTTGAGGGTAACGCATTACACGTCACAGTAATATATTGCCTTTTTGCAGTAACATTTCATTCAAATAAACACAAGAAGTTTGTGCTCTAGAGAAAGGATCAGCACTCAGTGAATAACCTCCTAAGCCCTATGATAAGCTAATAAGGCAAGGCTTAACTATACAGACCAGTGAGCAGTGATAACTAACATGTCTTTGGGGTCATCAGGTGGGAACCTCCTTTCACCAGTGTTTCGTCTAGTTGGTCCCATGACACCTCCAGGAGGCTAGACAGTGATCTCTGGCGTCCCAGAGACACTCCCCTAATGCCAAGTTTCACTGCTCCTCACACCAACCCAACAACCTCCTTTACCTTACATTACACATGGCTTTCTCAGCCCAAACAGCACTGCCACCTTCAACCAAACCCAGGCTCAGTACATGCGAGCTCCAGGTAGAGACAGTGCTGATACTACCTTTCCTAGCACATTCACCATACACTATTTCGCATGCTACATAGCATAACTCCAATATAAGCTAAGTTAAAGGAGATAAATAAACGTACAGGATCAGCAAACACACTCACCTTGCAGCATGGTCTCAAACAAAAGGGATTCAAATAGGCCACTCCCACACTTAAATAGCCTTCCTCTTCCTGGAGAGGAAGTGGATCTCTCCACCTGATGTCAAGAAGTTATGTACTCTGCTTAGTAGTTCTGCTACTAAGTGCTAAGTGCTAAGTACTAAGTGCTCCCCGCACCAACCCAATAACCTCCTTTACCTTACTTACACATGGCTTTCTCAGACCAAACAGCACTGCCACCTTCAACCAAACCCAGGCTCTGTACATGCGAGCTCCAGGTAGAAGCAGTGCTGATACTACCTTTCCTAACACCTTCACCATACTCTATTTCACATGCTACATAGCATAACTCCAATATAAACTAAAGTTAAAGGAGATAGATAAACAACAAACTAATATAACATGTTACCAACAGGATTTCAGTTAATCTTGTTACATTTACAATATCACGTAACCCGTTACCACACAAATTGTTTTCGTGTTTCATTCATCCACACCATTTCACTTCAGCCAGTGCGCCACCAGAAAAAACATCCCCCAAAGGTTGTTGTGTGCTTCATGTCATTTATTATACGCTACCTCATAGAAGTGTGCCAGTGATAGTGTGCATTATCATGTCCAGTGTTCCTCCAGTTTGTTTTTTCCTCCTCCTGGTGATCAACATATATGGATGATGTTAGAATATGTTGACTGTGGGGTGTCGGTGGCTTAGTGGTAGAGCAGGCGCCCCATGTACAAGGCTGTTGCTGCAGCGGCCCGGGTTCGAATCCGGCTCGTGGCCCTTTGCTGCATGTCATTCCCTCTCTCTCTCTCTCCCCCTTTCATACTTAGCTGTCCTGTGCATTAAAAGCAAAAAAAAAAAAATGCCCCAAAAAAATATTAAAAAAAAAAAAAAAAGAATATGTTGACTGCGTCTCCATTCACATCTCCTACAACTGCAGAGCACTGCTGGCACACAGTCCCGTTCTTATACACAACTCTCTCTCTGGTGCTGCTGTAGCTGCAGGTGGGTCCTCCAGCTCTGGTGTATTAATTTGTGCTTGGTACTGTGATGTACTCACACACCATTCCACTTGATGTTATAGGCCCACATGTATTTATCAATATCTCATAATTATCTGACTTTTATCCTCCGACTGACCCTCCCTGTGCACAAGGATATTCATTTAGTTCAAACGGTCTAGGCTATTTAATGGATCTATATCATCACGCTATTATTAATATACGAAAAGGATTTTAATACAAAGTTGTGACCACTGTAGTGAATGCATGAATGGGTCACACCTCTGCAGCACTGGATTTGTAATGAACTGTAATAACTGGAGCCTCTGTGCTTTGATTACCTGCTGTGATATAACATGACCCTCATTCATTTATAATGCCTATTTTTTCGTCTGAGGTCACTTTGGTGAAAGTAACGCAAAAGAAATGCATTATGTAACTCACTACTCTACACAGATAGTAATATTGTAATGTAACTAATTACATTTAAATGAAGGTAACAAGTAATAAGTAATGCATTACATTTTGAGAGTAACTTGTCCAACACTGCTTTGTGATAGCTTAAAAAATGAGCATGCCATAGCCTCTCAAAGACAGTAATATCATCCTCCAATTATTTTCACCTTGGGTGGCAAGGGGCAGCCATGGCCCCCCTGGCACCTCCTTGGCGCAGCCCCTGGGTGAGTGTAGGAATCGCTTGGGAAAAACAGGCTTCACTAACAACCAGTCAAAGGGCAAGAGGCAGCATCAGTATGACCTTCTTGTTGACCCATTGAATCCCCACAGAACTTGACAGATGTAAAAGTGCAAGCCAAGGCTGTAGGCTGTTTGCTGATTGGCGATAAGGTCAGTAGGAGCTGCTCGATAGAGGGTTGTATTGTACTTCTCACCTGCTCAGGAGGGAGAACACCTTGTTGCTGCTCGGTGTGTGCCCTCTAAATGTTGCTGCTGCATTCCCAGTAGGGGAAAACAGATATTTAAAAAATGTGTTTACATTTCCACCTGCCCTGAGGCGCAGTAAGCAGGTAGGGAATATATTTATTTATAGCAAGTTGCATCAAAGTGATGTGTGCAAAGATATAACTCCTCTGTGCACATTTATTTTCAGTGAAAGTCATGATTTATTTTTATTTTTATTTTCATTAGTAGTATACAGCCATGTTTAAAAAGATCTAAATGTTAATATGTCCTTTTTCTTTAATGTCAGAGGAGCTTTATCGTCGCTGGCTGCTTCCAAATATTGAAGAAACGCAGCTCTGACAAGCTCCGGAGTTTTCGACGCTCCTATAAATGCATCAAGAGTCCGGAGCGTATTCCTTTTCACGTCTGGTCAGCCTCGGTGTGAGAGGAAGGCACCAAAAAAAAAAAAAATCCCCTCTGACTGTGAGTGTGTGTACGCAAGAAAAAGGGAGCGAGACTTCGCCTGCACCTCAATCTGCTCCGCATCTTTCCACCGGACCGCAGTGGATACAGCCGGCTGGAGGGGACTAGCACATCTACAGCACAAGATGTAAAGGAGGTGTTTGTTTTTTTGTGTGGTACAGAGCGTGTTTCACAGGTCCGTTTGTTTTAAGGAGCACAGCACAAAAAGCGAAAGCACTGCCAGGCTTTTTCTTTGCGCTCTTCCCTCACTGCTAAGTGGGGATGCAGGATACGCAGCATCACCGGCATCGTTAGAATAAAACACCTTCGAGTTCAGCAGGCCGATCAGATTTCAAGGCAAGTGAGGGACTAAGGAGGAAATATAAAAGTCTCCACCGGTGTGAAAAGGACTGCTTGTCTTCGGAGGATAAAGTGAGCAGGGGGTAGCTATTTTTCCAACTATTTGGGGATGTGGATGTTTTTCTATTCTCCGGGCGCGCTAATGCCCCATATAACAGGAAATGATTTGGCCATCTAAAGATCAAATATAACTGGACTGCTGTTGGTGTTATCGTTTTATCTGCCCAGCGAGTCTCGGTGTGTGGAGGGAGGCGCGGAGCAACATCCAGAGAACTACACAGAGGGGGGGAATTGAGTTACATCGCAATTACGCTTTTCTTGCAAAACGACGTATTTCTGCGGGCAGCGGACACACACACACACACACACACACACACACATACATACACACACACACCAAAACCTGAGCCAAACTAACTGAGAATTTATTTCAGAGCTGGACAACAGGGAGCACACAGATAACCAGGTAAGCCAAGTTTGTAAAGTCAAAAAACGCATTAAAAAGCATCATGTGGGAAATGTAGGCTACTGAATGCGTAAAAATGTGATGAAGGTAATACACTGCGTCAATGAAAGCTCATTTGTAATATTAGGCTTCATTGTGCAGCAGAAGTTGAGACATTGATTATCCATCATGTGCTGGCTGTGATTTGGTGTCTTTACCTGTCTGACTGTGACTCCACACACTCGCTCTGCCGGATTTCTCCCTGCACATTTTCTTATTTCTATATGTTGCGTTGGTGAACTCCTGCTGTAGCCTAATTGTTGCATGTTGGGGCTGAATGGAAGAAAGGGGTCCTCGTGCAGCAGAGACTGGCGACAGGGAGTGAAATCATTAATTGGTGGGAGGCAGAGGCCGAGGACGTTTCAGTCGTGACGGATGATAGGACGACTTACAGTGATAAAGTGTTCAATTTAAGTGGAGTGATACAGATCAAGCGTAAATTCATTAAGGGGATGATCGATCGCTGGTGTGGCAAAGTGTTGCTTTAACACTCCGTCCAGACTTGGATGTGGACAGTTTAGACTTTTACTCATTTTTTTATTTATTTATTTGTACTAAAAAGAAACAAATAACCTGAACGTGATGTTGTAATGAGATTTAGTGAGAGGGGATGGTTGGGGAAACGCATGAGCTAATTGTTGGCACCACCTTGTGGTTCATTTTAGTGTCTGTTTTTGGCTCCACTTGTGGCATCCACAGGTTTTTGCTGTGGATGCCAAATCAAACAAACCCCCTTTTTGTTTATCCTCTCAAAGAATTAATGTGCTGTGAAGTGATGCAGCGGTAAATTAAAATGTGGGAAGCATTTGACCCGCAGGCAGTAAATGGTCATAACCACAAATAAAAACAGCAGATGTGTTTTCAACAAATGCATCTGCATATGACTGAACGGGTTGATTATCCATGTTAATATCTACTAATGCATATTATTTTGTCGTCCAAATGTAAATGTGTGATGTCTCTATGTGGGTTTGGCTCATCTGCACCCCTGGTTAAAGGTTGCTCCTACTATTTGATTATATTTTCTGTCATGTGTAAGAAAAGAAAGTTATCTGCACTTTGCTTAGTCTCCATTTTTTCACTAAAACAGTTGCTGAAGACTTTATTGGCAACTGCATGGTACCCACCTGTTAGTGCAACACTGGTGCCAGCTGCTGCTAGCGTTTCTGCAAGCTCAAGTACTTTGTGTTGATCCCAAAATGAATAAATGCTGCATCCATAAACACAAACTGCTTTGCTTGCTGTCTTGTTATAAGTCAGATATTTGCGCCACTGTATCAATTTCATGTTCATAAGTTTAGCTGCAGCCCGGCAATTCAGGTGCACACTGTATTTGATGCCAAACTTTACAGCTGACGCCCCAAAGGAACACTTAAAGTCTCAACAGCTCATTAATTGGGAATGGTGATAATGTTGGATTGGCGTTAATGTGCAATTATGGATTGGGTGCATGTCAACAATTTATTGTCTGGCAATCCCAGTTCTAGCTGTTCTGAAATAGAGTGTAGGGTTTGAAAGCCAGCAGCACCAGCATGTGGGGATTAGTCTTTAGGGGTGGCCAAATTAAGACTAATTTGATGTTACTGGACAGCCATTTACACAGGTTTGTAAAGCCAGATGGTTAGAATAAAAAAGTTATTAAAGCTACTTTTATGAGATGGAAACTGATATTGCAGTTCCATCACAATGGACCAAACTCAGTCCACAGAAAAAGACAGGTACAGATAATACATTGACCTTGAGTTAAGATCATTTTACAAGCTACTATTTCCTGTATTTTGCCTTTTAGCCTACAGGAGAGAGTCCATTTTGTCTATTTGTGTGTTCACTTCACTTAGGACATCAGGTTATTGCATTACTGAGGCTGGAAATAATAGAAAATGTACAATCACTAAAGATCTAAGTGAACCGATGCAGGTCAGGTGATCAACAATGAGGTCATGCTCTGGATTTAAGAGGTTGGCTACTGTTTTATTAATGGTCCACTTCCACATTTCCGTTTTTTTCTAAGGCTCATTGAACACACCATGTCAGTGTGTACCGGGTGTGCACGCGCAGTGATGCAAGTTTAGGAAATAAACAACTAACGTCACTGAAACGAGTCAAAGGTGGTCAGAGGTCGAGGTATGTTATCTTTAATTTAGTTCCCGTCTTGTGTTGAAGAATATTTAAGCTAGTAGCAAAGTTCCGCTCTGTATTAGGAGACATTTTGTGTCTCATGTACCTGCTGTATTTTACGTCGTCACCTGCAGGCTGAAGGTTCTGCTGGTTACCAACAGTTTATTTAGGTAACAAACGTGATAGAGACAAGACGTTTCTATAGTACAGCTGCAACACGAAATATAGCTTGAGCTAAATTTAAAAGCCACTGTCTTAATTACCAGCAAGTGTTGACATGAGCCACTAACTTTACCTAGCACATTGCCACTCAATTAACGTAGAGGTTAGAATAACTAGAGCAAATACTTTTAATTATGTATAATGGATATTATTATCATTATTATTAGTTGTAGTAGTGTTGATGAAAGTCACCTGGCTACCTTTCCTGAAGTCAAGGCCAATTTTATTGAAGTTCTTAATTATATTCTTGATTAAATTGATGTTTAAAGGAGCAGTGTGTGGCGTTTAGTGGCATCCAGCAGTGAGGATTGCAGATTGCAACCAGCTAAACTTTTCTCCTGTGCCAAGCGTAACTGTTTGGAGGTTTTTAGCAGGAGCCGAATTATCCGCAGAGGTCTCGTCCTCTCCAAAATAAACAGAGCAGGTGATTTAAACTGGTAAAAACACTGAATAAAGCAGTTTCATGTTACAATTCGGTGTTTCTTTGATGCTGTTTGGCTCGTCACAGAAAGGCCGCTAGCCCAGCACCTGGTAAATCTATGCTCACTTTTTCTTTAATAACTTAAGATCCAGACGTTCAGGAGGTTTTTAGCAGGAGCCGAATTAACCACAGAGGTCTCTTCCTCTCCAAAATAAACAGAATAGGTGATTAACACAGGTAAAGACACTTAATAAAGCAGTTTCACCTTTAAATCAGTGTTTTTCCAGTGCTGTTTGGCGTGTAACGGAGGGGCTGCTAACTATGTTGGCTGATGCTAACATGCGAATGGCCCTATCTAGAGATGGTTTGTCTATTCTGGGCTTCTGTAGCAAGAAACATGGCAGTGCAATATCGTGGTGTCCATGGACAAGGACCTGCTCCCTATGTAGATATAAACAGCTCATTCTAATTCAGATTCAGATTCAGACTCGGACAACTTTATTAATCCGACCAGGGACAATTTATTTGAACAGCTTGCCTTGCACACATATTATAACATAACATACAGTAACATGTAGACACATAAATAAATGAGTAATAAAATAAAAAGCAGAAATAATAATATGTCAAGGAGTTGGAATAAAGGATTCTATAAATAGCCTAATAAAAGTCAGTAGACAGATGATCTTACAACAGATAAAAAAAACAGTAAAAACTACAAAAACAAAAATTTACAGAGAATTTAAAAGACGAATAGCTGAGGGAATAAAAGATTTTGAATGCCAGATAGTTTTACAAGCAGGTAAAGCGTTACGATGTCCTGATGGTAGCAGAGAAAATTTGCCTGAAAGAACATGTCAAGAAGAAGCTAAAATAGTTGTGGCTTTCTAGAGGATTTGTTGACTACAAAAACCGGTCAACTTCTTATTTTGATGTGATTAAACACTAAAGAAAACATTGTATGATGTTCTATTTATGCCAATATATCCCCCTAAATCCTACACACTGAACCTTTAAAGTATTAAACCATGTTTAACTATTATGCATTACATTAAAAGATAAATTAAACTAAAATCTTCAATAAGAAATGTTGTTATTGACAATTTGCTTGGGATCATTAATTTCACCAAGACATTTGTAAAATGATCACATTATGTGATTGCACTGTTGTGATATCATTCAGCTAAAAAGCAGTAAATATAACATTAAGTTATTGCTCAGACGGAAACCAATAACACTATATTGCTTTGTAATGAAAGCCCTTTGAGGCAAATTTAGGATTTGAGTTGTATACATTTATTGACTCGACTTGCTCCAGACCAAGACCCTTCAATTATGTTGAAATGCAGTCTGATGATATTACTTTTAACAAATCACCCACCCAAAACAGACGCTGGAAAATGTTTAGTTTGCTTTTGATAGAGTGCTGTGGAAGAGTGGAGGGAGCAGCAGATCAGAGCAGCTTGACGCAGACCACTTAGCATCAGGACAGCACAGAAAGGGCTCGACCAAGTCCCAGACCAGCAGCAGATCTGTTCTGAAGCAAGGAGGGGGCTCAGATAACAGCAGAGTGGCCTAAAGGTAAAATCTCTGTCACAGATGTTCAGTCTATTCCTCTTCTGGATTTCTACACAAAACACCACATTTCTATTTTTAGTGGCACTAGCAAGGCTTTATGGCTGTGTTTTCGTGCTGCACTCGGCGGAGGTGCAAACTCTGGTAGATTTCCAAATGCCATTTGGTGCAAATTTAATTTTTGTGTCCTCCTGTGCCTGTTTGTGGATTTGATGGCTCCGTTTCATAGCTCTGTTTCGGAGATAGGTGGAATGGCGCTGCTCACTTCACTCACAGGCTGCAGTTTATTTGTTTGCGCGCTCCAGAGTTCACTTGTTTGCAGTGCTGTGCCTAACGAAACAGTTCCACTGTTAACAGAGCACAGTGGGGCGTTGTTGACAGCTGGCGTACCTGGAGCAGTGGTTGGCAATTAGGTTCAACCAAGGGCCAGTTTTTCAGCACACTGGGGGCCAATGCTGGTTTATTGTTTGCAGCAGAGACACAAATCTTTGTGTTTTCAGTCCCTTTGTTTGAGCATTAATATTTTTAATCTTCTTTGAATTAGCCCACACATGATCTCACTCAGATTTATAGTATGCGTAGTATGCATAAATTTACAGCTTGGTCAGGGGCCAGATTTGGCCCA